AAAAAACCTACCGTACTCCGACGGAACCCGAATATCCGCCACCCCAGGATCCGAACGGAATATTCGACGTTACGCCAACACCCACTCCACCTTCTTCATTGATTGGATAGTAAGGAATTCCATTCACACCGATTGTTGCAAAGTTCAAATTGACCTGAACAGAAGAATAAATTTCACGTAACGTTGAGAATCCACTGGCCCTTCAGAGGAAAATTAGTTGACCTAGGTTTAGCCGACAATCTCATTACGTTGCTCTATGAGGACTTCTGCAATCCGCCCTTTCCGGCCGCTCCCTTGGTGGCTTTGATGGATGCCAGTCAATCACTTTTCTCCACATCGAGTGAGATTTTCTCCTACTATTTGGTACGCCTTTCGAATAACCCTTTAGCACGGCTCCCACAGTTCAAAAAAAATCGCATTTTTACTAATTTATTTTATGCATCAAATGCGGGTCTGTAATCAAAGTTCTATATGGTACACCAGTAGAGGGCTATAAAACTCGAGACAAAGAATAACGAGCAACAATCAGCGTACCGCTGAACTGAAGGAATTGGCAACAGCGTAGAGTGGATCCGCTTCACCGAAAAATCTTTTGCAGTCGTTGAAATAAGAAGCACATCGAGCCACATTTCCTTTTGTCAAGGCTTTTTTCTCACAGTACTAGAACGTACAATATTACGGAGTTATTATCAGCTACAGTTGAAGATTATATCTGAATCGAAGAACAAAAGTCCCCAAAAAAGTTCAAATTGTCACCTTTTGCACAACAGGAGCCATTCGTGAACATTTGGCTTGTAGGGAAGCAAGATCCTCGTCAGCAACTGGAGTACCCTGAAAAAGCTTTTGACATAGCTCGAATCTCTGTAAACGAGCGAGGAGACGGTCATCCGAAGTGCACAGTTACAGTAGCGCACAAAAGTATTCGGCAAAGCAGTTTTTCGGGAATAACTTTTTTCCCAGTGGAGCAAATCGCATGAAATTTTGATATGTTCAACTGGANTGCAAAGCAGCAATGTCCACATAACTAAGGGGAGGGCGTTTGTAGACTATGCTGAAAGCAAGTTTATGACATCTGCAGTTATTCGGACTTTGTGTGCGTTTTTCTTCTCTTCTGGAATCGGCATGAACTCTCGCACGCTTTGGACATGGCAAAAAGGGAAGAAATCCTGGAAGCAACAGTGTCCTTATTTCCAGTTGGTTTTGATTTCAAGTTCTTTGGGATTTGGAACATGATCGGAATGCAGGTTAATAGCGGTAACACTGCACTCGTGCTACACATATTGAAATTTTGCATGATTAGATCCAATAGGAAAGGAGCTACGACTGAAATTACGACTGAAGAAGCATTTGGCCGCTTACTTTTGAGCGCTACTGTAGCTACGGATCTGCCGGGAAGTCAAACGAACATCAGCACGGCCGCCAGCTGGTGGTCATGCTTAATCACGAGAGGTATGACTAAAGGAAATAGTTTATATCGTGCCCGTTGGATAAGGAGAATCCACTTAACTATGTTTTTTCGCGACAGGGATGAATGGAGACGTTACGGGGGCTCGTTCGAACAAAGTGATGCTTGACTTACACTTAGGGCAGGACGCTGAATCAGTGGAATCTGTTGCGGATAGGTTGGGGAGGGGGAAAAGGGGGAGATTGACTTAACCAGCGGATTTGGGGACCTCTCTTTTTCGTCATAAATTGTATAATGTAGGTATATACGCAGATGTAAATTACCGCAAAGGAATTGTCGAGGCGAATGGTTTCAGTCTCACGCATAAATGGGATATCAAATCCTGGCTTTAGCCCTGCTAGAGCATACCAGTTCCCCACCCATACTGCATGCCAAACTGTAATCAAGGAATCGTCCGAAAAGCTAGAAGCTATTCGGAAGGACCTGTACATTAAGCCCCTTCACATTTGTCTTCATCCATTGTTGTTTTAGAGTAACCTTAGAAATATTTGCTATATCAGAACATCATTCTATTGCTGTAGCAAAAAGTATATGAACCCAACTGAATTTAGCAAATTTGCATACCCCGCCATCGTCACCCATTACATCAACCACCAATCATAGAAATTTTCCTCGGCTACTTCTACCCTCAAGGTCTTGTTGTTCCCCATGGTATCGAGGATAAGCTTAGCTAGCGGAAATGTGACAGACCTTTTCTTTCCGATATTCTTCCAACAACTGCGAATTCAAATCCGAGAGCTCGTCTTTCGCTCGGGTGCCTTTGGACCATTTTGACACTTCGTGTGCTGCTTCGGTGGGCAGAGGAGGCGGTGTTATCACTGAATTTGTACTATATCAGCATATAGCATAGACAGTACGATATTCGCGTATATTTGCAGCCCAAATGAGCCTCTCGTATAGAGTATCCCAGAAAGTGAATGAGAATCAGAGTGAAAAATCCATTCGCACCCCCCGTCCTAACGATACACAATCTCAAGTTATAAGTCCCGCGCACTACAGTGCGTTTCATAATTATAAGGTCACCCTCAAATTTTGCACTTTCAAGAAAAGCAATCATTAAGGATTTTTTTTAGCATCATGAACG